CCCCCCCCCCCCCCGGAATTCAGAAAAATTACGCTTTTTGAGTCTGAAACTCTACGTTTGCCCCCTCAGAAGAGAGATTTTTGCCCCCCCCGGCAGTTAATTTCGCACCCTCGGACGAAAAAAGCTGGATAAAACACTGATCTGCTGGATTAATGCAAGGAAGTTTAGGTGTATTATCAAGAGCACTTAATATGTATTGGACAGTTATAATTGCACGAGAAGTATTACGTTCATCAGAACCAAAGGAGAAATCTTCTTAAACTATTTATTTTTCTTGGAAATTATATTACATTTTTTATTTATTTTTCTATAAATTAATATATTAGATAGTCTATTGCATTGATTTTTGTTCTTTTTTATATGGTATATATTCTGTTAAAATGGAAATTGATAGTGACATATGTATCGCCTACATTCGCATCTATAATTATATGAGAGAAGGCCTTCATGAATTTACAGCTCCTATCTCCAAAGAACTGAAAATTTAGATATATTAGATGAGTCTAAATTAAGAAAAAATATTTTGTAATTTTTTGAGTAGTGCTTAGTGATCTGAAGATAGACAATCAATCACTCAGATTATCGAATAAAAGAAGCTTTATACAACGAAAATCAATCTTTCTTATTAAATATTATACTTGTTTTGTCATATAATACAATATACATAAATTAATCTATATCTTCAACATTTGTACAAGTTCTTACTGATCGCGATGTCTTTAATGAACGCATTGTGAACTACAAAAAAATATGAATTTAATCGAAAAAATAAAAATTATTCAAATTGAATTAATATCAATTTCTTGAGGGTGTGGGTGTGGATATCATATTTATATCATATTCTCACCCACACCCTTATAACAGTTACTACTTCATTGTGCTATATTTTTTATAAGCTCGTTACAATGTAAAAAGTCAAGTATATGTATAAAAAATATAAAATAAGGAGTGGGTGTGGGTGTGAGCGTTTGATCTCTTATTTTGCGTCCACCTACACATACCCGATGTATACCAAAAACTTGAACTACGGTATTTCGTTCTGAAATTTTGCCTATAGATATATCCATTCACAATTAGAACACTTTGAAATTTTCAGCTCAGAAGAATCTTTTTTTCTCGAGATATTCAAGTGTCAAAAATAGTTCGTA